TTGGCTAACCTCCATATTGTTAATCTATCTTGTGTTGATATTCTCTCATTGTATTATCCAACAATAGCTGCATTATTTTGATTTTGGTAAAGTAACAAAGATTTTGCAACGTCTAATCTCTACGGTGATTATGAATATATGCTTGGAGGTCAAATATGTGAAATTAGTCAAGCGATGCATTTGTAGAGGGCAATGTTTATATTCATGCACTCATACATCAATGTCGAAACTTTTTTGGTTAAGACAATATTGAAATGTGAAAAACAAGCACTGAACAATTCTAATGAAAGTTACATGCTAGCGGGAGATTATGTACCTGATGATTGGGATGAGGACATCAATTTTTCAAGAGATGGTCCTCCATTTTTGAACAAAAAGGTATTTGCAAAGTATTACAATGAACTTCCAAGTTGGATAAAGAGGACATGCTTGTGGGAGATTACAAATATTAGAATAAATTTCAAAAGTAGAGGTATACTTCACTTGATGAGATTAATAAGAAAGACGTACCATTATCCCTGGAGTTCGATTATGGACCGATCATGCAATTCGATCAAACATGAACTATTGACGAAGAGCTCAAAGAAGATGACATATCAATATAAATGAACCGAACAAAATCATGGCAAGCAATGAGGTTGAAAGTAATCTACATTCTTCCGACTTTATTGATTGCCTGACAATTGAGTTTGTGATTAAGTCCGATGATGTGGTGGAAGTGTATATAGTTGAAACAAAATTTGATGAAAAAGGCAATTCCTGTTATAAAGAAATGGGTGATGTTGAGTTTTGGAGATCAAACAAAAAGTGGAGCAAAGCCAAAAGAATAAAAATGTCAAGGCATGTAAAGCCTTCTTTAGGTGCCCGTGATTTAATTACCAAATTCGAGTTAAAGACTAAAAAAAGTGCATATTGGAAGGCAACCAATTTTAATTTTTAAGTTTTTTATTTGCTTTTATGTATATTTCATGTTTTTATTTACTTAGCTACCATTATATTTGTAGGTAATCTTTTATGTCCCACGTATTTATGATTCCTAACAAGTTTGGGGGTCAATTGTTGTACAAGAAGGTCACTTGCCCAAGTTTATCAAGAGCATCACAAGTCCAAATCAAGCATTGGTACCTCTTCACAAATGTCCCACTGGGGAAGTTTTGCTTTCCACTCCTTTCTTTTATCTTGTTCTTTTTCACATTTAGGACAATGTGTGGTTTTAAGTTTGTAGGTGATTGTGCTTAAATTGTTGTAATTTTGTGTTGACATGTTAGATAAGCCCTACCAACTTAGGATCGCTTGATGTTCATAATTGTTGTTGATTCATGAGCTATGCATGACCAATATGCTATTTGTGCCTAATTTTTTTCTTCAAAATATTGCTTGTCCATTTGGGATTCCAAATCACTTTGAGTACAATAATCATGAGTAATTGTTATCTAGACGTGAAAATTTTTTATTGATGGAGAATGTTTTGAATTGATAGAACCAGGTTGTGAGTTGTTTGAAAATTTATATTAACCTACATTCTTTATCAGTAACCACATTGTGCGATAAGTTTGGAGGTGGTCGAGCTGGTAAAGGATATTATCTAGAAGTGTGTTGGATTCCATGCACGTTGAAAAAAAAAATTGTGTAGAGTGTTTTTTGCCTAGTATAAGGTAGGCAGTGACAATATGCTAGGGATCTAGGCCCGATGTATTATTATTGTGCTTAAAAAAGAACATTGCACTTTCTGGATCATAGGCCTCACATTGTAGCATTTTGATTCGAGTTATTAAGTCCGTAAGAGTATCTTAAAACTCGGTACCTTTTGGTCTAAAAAATCGAGTTATTAACCTAAAGCTTGCTACATGGGTCAAAAAGAAAGTTTAAGGATGTGAGGTCAATCATGAAATTTAATTTTAAAAAAATTGATTTTTTGTAATTTTATTTGATATTTGGTTTAAATAACTATTGATTTTGAATTGCTTGGTATAAGCTTGAAAGTCGAAGCACTCATTAGTAGAGAATCATCACAAGAATATATATTGAAATTGTTGAATATGCCCAATCAAAGAGGAGCAGAAAAAGAAAAAAGTGATTGAAAACAACCTTTAGATTATGCCCGAAAAGAAAGTAACTACATATTTAAGAAGTGTGAATCTCACAAGTGGAAAATGAAATATTTGACCACGAAGATTCGGGTTGGAGCCAATTTAAAATTTTTTTCATCTTGACAAATATTTTCGAATTTAGATAATGATTGAGAGTAATTATACACACACATATACTGATTATACAAATTTTACAAATTGATTTTTTTTTTTTTTTGGCAAGTTATCTAATATGTGGATCTTTACCTCATTTTGCATCATTGTGCCACCTGATAATCTTGTTCAAGATGAGCAAAAGCTTAAGTTTGAGAGTGTTGATAATTGTATTCTGGGACACTTATTTAATATCCAAATAAGCTAATTAGTGATTAAATTGTGCGAATTCCAATCCAATATTGTGTAATTGTGGCTTCTGTAGGTAAAGACCTCAAATTGAAAAAGAACAAGAAAAAGGAAGATAAAAAGAATTGGAATCATACAAAAATAAAAAGCTAGGGACCAAAATACATAAGGGCAAAATGTTGAAGGATCTTAGGGTAGAATTTATAACGGGTATAACTGAAAGAAATGTCAAAAATCGAGGACCAAATTGCACAAGATCAAAGTTCAGGACCCTCCCATGCAATTATTTGGGAGACTTAGTTGCAAAATGAACAATCAAACAATTGAATTGGTGATAGAAAGTTGGTGCCTAGGCACCATCTTATAGCGCCTAGGTGCCGAATTTGTTTTTTATATAAAAAAAAAAAAAAAAAAGAACTGAGGTCTGTTTTGTTCTCTTTTTGAAAATCTAAGGACTTGGCGGCAGTTTCTCTGGGGCTTTTAAAGTTAAAAACGGGCAGCAACGTTCTGTCCTCTTCTTCCTCTTTTCTTCTCATTTTTCATTTTTTTCATTTTTTTCCTTTCTTCTTTCTATTTTCTCTTTTTTTCTAGTGTTATTTTCTTGGATTTTGGGGATGCAATCTAGAGAACAAGGAGATTCAATTAAAAAATTGGAGAAATATTGGGGAAAATCAAGAACATGAGTCGTATCATCTTCAAAAATCAACCAAAATCAAGAGAGATTTTGATTTGATTTTGTGCTAAATTATTTAAGAAAACAGTAAAAAATATTTTTATATCAAATCATAGATGATTATATTGGATTTAGAATCCACCCATTGCTATTTATTTCATTTATTGATTTGTAATCTAGTGTCACTCATACGTTCTTGACCATTGATAAAGCTAATGTATTTATCTTTCTTTTTCAAGACAAATAATTATATCTTAACCATGACCGAAATCTATTTCTAGCTCAAATTCGAATGGTTAGAACGCATTAAATATTAGATTATCTATATGATTGCACAAGCGATAAATGTTATTCCTAACATCTATTGTAAATATTTTAATTTTTTCTCAATTTTTATAGAATCTTGCATAAACTACTAAAAATGAGAGGTTGGGTGTATAATTAATAGCCTAAAACAAAACTAAAAAAATCAAATTCTATATAAACTAATAAACTCAAATTGAATAATTTATTCTCCGATAATGGCGCAAAAAACTTGTTTGTGTGAAAGTATTGTTTCACAGGGAATAAATACTTTTAATATATACTTAATATAATTTTATAGCAGATCTATTATTTAATTAATATTCAATTAAATTAAATAATAAAGTTCATAGATTCAAATCTTGATAATTTGTTAATCACAAGAAATTGTGATTTTGAGATACAAATTACATATGATTGAATCTTAAATAGTCTGTGGTCGTAAGTAATAACAAGATATGGATATTATTATTACGGATAGACCATCACGTGTGACATTTCTTACTCATAAAGTAAGTAACTGATCTCACAAGTTAAAGTGTGGTGACACTTAAATGTATGGCTGAACCGAACCGGACCCAAAATTTTCAGGTACTTAGTAATTGGAACCGTTGGGTCCAAATTTAATTATGGAACCGTTCGGGTTCGGTTTCAATCGATTCAGTTCGATTTTGTTCAGTTCCGTACCATAATTACATTGTTTAACATTTACAACACAACATAAATACAACTAATAATATGTTGAGTCATAGCTTTTACAAATTAACAAAGTCCCATTAAAAACATATAAGTAACAAGTTGTACAGTAACATTAATTTACCAATGTATACATATACCAAAAAGTAAATACTAATATTAAAATATCGGCAATTCATATCAATAATTCCCTTGCTTCAGCCTTCAAGCCTTCAAAACAAGTCTACATAAAACAATTAAATATGAATTAAAAGTCATAGAAATAAAATATTTTTAAGTATTACTAATACTTACCAGCTATTTGATTAATCATCAATTTCTTGAGTTGCCATACGAAGAAACTCTACAGAAAAAATTGAAAAAACACAATTAACAAACATAAATGAACTAAAAATTGTTCAACTAATAAGATTTAATAAGAAAAATAAAACATATATTTTATTACCTGTCTCAATGCTCTCATCGAACTCTGTCTCTTCAATGCAAATTCTATCTTCGGAAACTCTCAAAAGTCTAGATTCTTCCATTAGCCAGTTTTGTGTACAAATCAAGGCCTCAACTGTTTTAGGAGTTAAAGAACTCCTAAATGGGTCAAGAATGCGCCCTCCAGTACTAAATGCTAACTCAGAAGCCACAGTAGATACAGGAATGACAAGAACATCCCTTGCAACTTTAGATAAAAATTCAAACCTTGAACTGTTGATCTTCCACCATTTTAAAATGTTAAAGTTTTCATCAGTAGCATCTTCAGTAGGTTCCATTAGATATCGTTGTACCTCATCTTTTCCAGAAAAATCCATTTTGCTAGTTTTCATTTTCTTGTACCCAAAATCAAAATTACAATCATCCCAATCATCATCATCATCTGAACCCTCCAACAAAGTGACTCTATCATTTTATTCATTACCACCACTTCCACTAGCTCCATTCTTTGAACGATGACATCCCTTGTACTGGTTATGCAAAGCATACAATATTTTCATGACCTCAGTTTTTGTGGCTTCAACCTTAACAGAGTCATACAAGATACCAATACAATGTACAACAAACTCCAACTTATAACGAGGATCAAGCACAACTGCTACAATCAAAATCTTGTTCATTTTATCAACATTATCCCAATTCTTGTCAAACTTAATCTTCATGTTGTTTGCTATGCTACTGAGCAAATAATCTTGTTTGTCACCCATTTTTTTCAAAATTTGCTTAATTTTACACACTTCTTGGAAGTAAATATTGGAAGTAACATTCAATGAAGCACTAAACTTCAATGTGACATCATAAAAGGTTCTTAGAAACTTGGCAAATTTTCTAGCTTTCTCCCAATCATAACTCGTAGGCGGCCCCTCTTTTTCTTTTCCACCTTCATTCTCGTCAAAATATTTATAATAAAATCCATCCTCTTCCTCCATTCTAAAAAAAGTTTTTTCAAAATTCAATGCACTATCCAACATTAAGAATGTTGAATTCCATCTTGTAGAAACATCTAAAACAGGAAGTTTTTTGCATGCAATCTTTTCCCTTTCAATACAACACTTAAATTTCATCAATCGAGAAGGAGATGATCGAAAATATTTGACAGCATTGCGAATACTTTCTATAGATGGATTAAACTCTTTCAACCCTTCTTTAACAATCAAATTGACTATGTGTGCTGAACAACGTACATGCAAATAAGAGCCACCTAAAATCATAGTATCATCAGGTTTCCAATTCTTCAACTTATTTTTCACATAAATGATCACTGCATCATTTGTGCTTGCATTGGCTACAGTAATTGTACCCACACGCTCTATTCCCCAATCAAGCAAACAATTTTCAATAAGCTTCCCAATTTTCTCCCCTTTGTGATTTGGAACAACAGAAAAAGTCAATATCCTCTTATGCAATTTCCAACTTCTATCAATAAAACGTGCTGTGACTACCATATAATTGATGTTTTGAATTGATGTCCAACAATCAGTGGTTAAAGAAATCCTTTGTCTATCATTAATAAATTTAATCCTCAATGATTCCTTTGTTTCATGGTAATCGTTTTTCGACAAGGAACCTAAAATCTAGGACAAAGTTGATGAACAAATTCTTTAAAATCCACACCTTTCGCAAAGGAAAATGCCAATTCATCAATAATAATCATTTTAACCAATGCTTTCCTACAGTTTTCTTTATTAAATACCATTGCCGTAATACCACCATCATTGTTTTCTCGAGTGAGTATTGCTTGGTTGTCATCAAACGTAGTGCTCTTATATGCATAACAAATTTTTAAATGCTTCCACATGCTAAAAGTTCCACTATTAGTATCAGCCTTAAATGTTCTCTAACAATAATTACATTTTGATCTTTCTCCATCAAGTATCCTAGTGAAATGATTCCATATTTCCGACCTCTCATTAGGCTATTTTTTGTCTCCCATTTGAGCACCCAAAACAGGTAGGAAAATATAAAGAATAGCTTTATCCCAGGTTATAAAATACAAAGACTAACACACTTGCATTTATCTTACACAAAATACCACCAAAACACACTTGCATTTATCAATATATGTGGATTTGCAGGAATAATGATCAATTCAGATTTGCAGTAACAACAGGAAAGAAAATACAGCAAACGGCAGCATTTATCAATCACAAAACACCACCAAAACAACAGAAAGAAAATACAGTAAGAGCAGGAAATAAAATACAGATAAGAAGAGAATCGGCGCACTACATAACATTTATTAGGCAGATAAGAAGAGAAATGAAAAATATGAAGCATTTTGACAAATTTAGACACATCAATTTTGCATTTTACTTTCCAAAATCTCAATGATTTTGAACATACTTAAACACCCACCATTTATACTCAAGCACTAACATTAGTTATTTCTTATGTTCCTACTGATATTAAACAAGATTGACAATTAAAGAAAATGAGGGAAAGTTGCAGATTTTTTACTTCACTGCTATGGAATTAACTTCCATGGAAGTTTGATTTTTCTCTTTCTTTTTTCGAGTATATGTATAACTAGAGGAATTATTTTCCTCTCTTATCAATATATATATATATATATATATATATTTTGCTTTGACATTAAATAAATTAACCTCTCAATCTGGACGAATTTTTCTACCAGTTTATCAAGTTTAAGAGGGAGGTGAAGACTAATGTTATTATAAAACTCTTTCCGTCCAACCAACTCCAGAGGAAAATTAATGTACTACGGTCTCGATTGCAAGAAATTTACCATCAGTAATCAACTCTCTTCAAAAAAATGTCTAAAATTGATAGCAAAGCAAGTAATCAACTCTCTCTAAGGTATCTAAGTATTAGTTTGGTATTTAACCCCACTGCATAACATTTATTAGGCAGATAAGAACAAAATTGGCGCCGGCAAAACATTTAGGGCTTACTGTCGAATGGTTGGAGGTCTCACCTTTGATGGGCTTTCGACTTTCGGAGTTCACTGCTTCGAATCGATGGCGACGCTGGGGGTTGGACTGCTAAACGGAGAGACGAGAGTTGGTCTTTGGAGTTTGGAGTCTTTGGACGGCCGAACCGACTGGAGTTGGGACTTGGGGGCGAACTGAGCGAGTGAGCGTGGGGTAAAATACTAAAATGTAAATGACAATGTTAATACTAATAGGGTTGGGTTTTTTTTAGTGAACTATGTAGTTTTACTAGTTTGTACTTTATTTAGGGCTAGATAATGGAATTGGATACTTGGATTTAGTGGGTTAGGTAGAGATTTAGAGTTGGGCTAAAAATGGAAAATTAAAATGGGCTTAAATGCTTGATGTTGGGCTAAAAAAAATATTAAAAATGAAATAAATAATTGGGCCAAAAAAAATAGATTTAGAAAAAATTAAAATAATTTGATTTATTCAATATAAAAAAATAAAAAAATAAGAAAAATTCGGTTCTTCGATTTTTGGTTTAGAATCGAGAACCGAACTGTACCCGTTGGTTCTCGATTTGGATTCCCGTTCGGGTATTTAAATTCAGAAGAACCGTCGGGTTCGGTTCGGTCGGTTCGGGAGTTTTGTCCAGCCCTACTTAAATAAACAAGTGGATGTTTTGTTATAGAATAAAATATTGGAGACCAGTCGAGAAATTTCACATGTATAAATATCTGAGTGTCAGTGGTTAATCTCTAACGTTTGGTAGTGGGATTGACCCTTTGACTTGAGGTCTTCATAGTACTTTATATGATGACAGTTATGCTTTGATGGTGTTGGATGTTGCTCTGCCAAGGGCCGCTATTATGGCATCGTTCAGATATGTCAAGAATCATGTGAATGTTGTGAATAACCAATAGATGATTCATCAATTTTAGATAGTAAGAGATTATGATCCATATTTCATTTAATTAAGTCGATAATGAAGTCCTTGGCCAAGGTGTACTCATAAGTCGAAAATGAGTTTTCAACTTACATTGACTTAATAGTAGAATGAAAAATATGATTGATAATTGAGATTGACACTCATCTATATCTCGTAATTGATCGGATCATATTGACAAAAGGATTATAGTTTCACAGTAAACGAACAAGTTTGGTTTTATCATATCACGTGACATTTTTCATCGCATGTATTGCCCTGACACATTACTAGATGTCGATCTGGGACAGCGAGTGTGAATTGGTGATAATTAAAATGGTGTTTTAATTTATCAATTTTGATTAGATCAAAATAATATTTCACGTCGTTAGATATCGTGATTAGGAATTTGATGGGTAGCACACAAAAAGAGAATTGGAAGATTGTAAGTTATCAATTAATTAATTTAACAATCGTTGGATAAATTAATTAATTGGGTTACGTATTTATATGCCCGAATTAATTAATTAGATTAATTAATTCACGGACTGAATTTAATTAAATGTGTTAATTAAATATTGGATCAGGTCAGGTCAAACCTGTTTGGGCTTATATAAATATGTCTAGAGTTTTCAAAATCTGTAGAGAAAAAATCATTCTTCTTGCTAGCACAAGAAAGAAAACCTTAATCTTACAATCTTGTTCTTTGTGTGGATCACCGTTGGAGGACAATTGGATAGCTATGGATGGCGAATCAAGATTGTTGGAATAAAGAAAAAGCAAAGAGATTTGCAGATCTAGAAAAATGTATGAATTTTATCACAGTTTCTATCTAAATACAAAGAGATCCTTGGTAGAAATTGAAAATTGTTTTATTTTCATTGCGCATGATAAGTAGTTCCCAACATGAAATTCGAATTATGAAACACAGAAGATAGATTTTGATTTGATTTTACGCTAAATTATGGTAATAAGTATTTTTATTTCAAATCATGGATGATTGTATTGGATTTAGAATCCACCTATTGTTTATCTATTTCAATTATTGATTTGTAATCTAATTCCGTTCATACGTTATTGACAATCGATAAAGCAAATATATTTAAATTTTTTTTCCAAGACAAATTAATTATATCCTAACCACAACCTAAATCTATTTTTAGCCCGAATTCAAATAGTTAGAACGCATTAAATTTTAGATTATTTATATGATTGCACAAGTGATAAATATTATTGCTAACATCTATTGTAAATATGTTAATTTTGTCATATTTTAAATTTATTATGAATCTCTCAATACTACAATAAACAACTAATTTATCTAATTGATGGTCAATCAATTAAATAATGCAATGAGTGTGCAAGATTTATCAAGAAACACAAGAATTAAACTAAACTATAGATCTTAAATTAAAAATAAATAAACAATCGAGTTTATCTCATCCAATAAAAAATGGATCATGCCTAACATGATTATAAATAAATTACAAAAAGAATAATGAAAAGATATCACACTGATCATGAAAGAATACAAAAGATATCAATCTTCAAGTCCAAGATTTAAATCTTTTATTTTTTGATGTAATTGACATTCAATTCTTGCTAGGGCTTGATTTTCTCTTCCAAAAGTAATGAATTGACCCTTTTTTTGATGAATTTGATGATATTACTATACATTTAGAGGCAGGAGAGTTCCCCAATGTGTAGCCCTTATTTTGTATTTTTAAGAGCCAAAAAATAAGTCAAAATCATGTCTAATTTGGATTCGAAAAGAGTTTGAGTAGGGCGGCGATAGCAATGAATTGTCCCGTCAATCATTTACGAAGAATTGCATAAAAGATCTCTTGCTAAACCCCTGTAGCCTCGCCCCATCTATGAGGGTTTGGTTCTCTATATAGGGTCGACGTTCAACTCTCCATAGAAGTTCGGCCTCTTCACAAGAGTTCATTAAAACTGTGTTTTGGGCAAAATGATGTGGAGTGCAGGCTCAAGTTTGCTTGCCATTGATTGCCATGTAAGAGTTTTTGGAGCCTTCCTAGAAGAAGCGTAACAATAGTCCACAAAATCCATGTAATGCGTAGACTTTTAAGTTGAAATCTACTTCCTATTGATTTATTCTTTATTATATTTGAAGTGGGCATTTTACAAAGAAATAGTGTAGCACATCTCCTCCTACATGGCTCCAAAATTTTCTACGTGGCTCTTACACAACAGGCGAACCTGGGCCCATACTTCACGTTATTCAGTCTAAGAGGCAATTTGGACGAACCCTCGTGAAGAAGTTGAACCTCTATGGAGAGTTGAATGTCGACCCGATATGGAAAATCGAACCCTCATAGACGGGGTGAGGCTACAAGGGGTTCAACAGGAGATCTTTTATGCAATCCTTAGTAAGTGTTTGATGTGATAATTTACTGCTTCAGTCAAACAAGTCAAATTTAAGTCTTATGTTAGATTTTTGGGCAACAAAATAGTATTAGTATTAAATGCCTATGAGTGGTTGATACCTTTGACAAGAAGACTTAGCCACAAGGATTAGGCCACGTATGCTTTCCTATAGTCACTATACATCGTCTTCTATTATAAAAGCTCACACAATGTGTTATTCCAAAGGTAATACAAGCTTAGACTGTTAAGCTACTTTGCTCTCATTACTTTTACTATTTCTCCCAAAGTACAAGAGGCTCTTGTCTAAGGACCTCCCATACTCAAATGTTTGCAAATTCAACTGACATGATCGTTGGAGTGCAGGTGGCCAACTCTACCACCATTGGAGGAAGTCACTTGTGGCTAACGGTTTGTCCAAATGTGCAAGAATCAAGCTTACATAAACGCGAAAGGCCTTGTGGCTTGTCAACCACGTTGGAAGTACAAAAATCAAGACCAACAATTTCATTATTTTGGCCTCTTCGCTTCTCATTTTCTAACAAGAAAAATTGATGCATTTTCTACAATAACTTCCATTTGGACACGAAGCATATCATGACACATGTCACCATCTTAATAGGTGTAACTTGATAATCGATTTCCATTTTTAGAAGGTTTTGTCATGTGGATCCATTTTAAACCATAATTACTTTGCACATGTATTT